GTAGTTGATTCCTATGGGATATTGTTTTTTTGCATACCTATATAATTTGAATATTTTACAAGGAGATGGTATTTGTTTGGTAATCAAAAACAAGGTGGACAGGTAGGCAGGAAGAACATTGCTAAAGCAGTAGGTCTTAAGAGACTGTGAGGAACTTCTGGTGGGCCCATGTATCAGTAACCAGGACATGGAAACCACAGTAAATATGGGACAGCCAAGCAAATGTACATTTTACTTGTCGTGTTCTTTCTGAATCTGACTTCTGTTGGACACATAGAATGTCTCTCTCTAGTTAATGCATCAAGTCATCTTAGAACATTTGACAGAAGACTTAACTCCTTAATTCCATAGAGGCAGATTGGGATCTCTAATTACTTAATTGAAAAAAGGTACACACTTCAGCCTGCCACAGTGTTTGGGAATTAATCTTTAAAACCTGACAGTGAACATTAAATTCAATTAGGGAGAGCGATTAGCAGAGATTCTTCTTTCCTTCACCCTGGGTAGCTTTGAGAAGTGGCTGACTGGTCTGCATTGATTCTGACACTATGCTTGTGTATATATCAACCAGGAGAGCCAAGTATGCATTTTTCACTTCAGAGGAGAGTTATCGGACAATTTACAGATTGATGGATTTCCTTAAACATGTCTCCATGGCTGATTCAGAAGTCCCCCTGGCCACGAATTCAGACTCACCAGTTTGCTGCTTTGGGCCTTGGTGTTTTCTCCTCCTCTTCTCTTTTCTTCCCCTGCTCCTCCTCTTCCTCCTTTCTTAACTTTCTCCTCCTCCTTATTTTGTTGGTTCTACCTTCCAAGCAAGGCCACTTTTCCACGGCCTCCAACTGGTTCCAACCGTGCTGCTCTCTCCCCTGGATTCTTGCAGAAGCTCCACACTGTCTTCCCATGTCTCCCTTGCCCCGCATGCTCCTCCTGGCACAGCAGCCAGAGGGGTCCTGTTTCTGCCTGCAGGATTCTTCCCCAATTTCTGTACAGCTCCTTTCCTCACCCCTTCAGGTCTTGCTTCAAAGCCACCTTCTTTGAGAGGCTCTTCCTGGCCACCATTTCAACTCCTTCTCCTGACCTTAGAGCTCCTTTCCTGCTCACTTATGCCCTCGGTCTTTACCACTACCTTGTATGCTACATAGATTCTGCTTGTTTATCTTGTTTAGTGTCTGTCTCATTGAAGGCAGAGGTTTTTGTCTTAGTTGTTTACTGCTGAACAATGCCTGGCTAATGCAGGTACTCAGGAAATGTTTGTTGAATGAATGAAAAAATGAGTTTTTAAAAAATTTTTATTTATTTTTTTAGAGTTGGGGAGGGGCAGAGGGAGAGAGAGAATCTTAAGTAGGCTCAATGCTCAACACGGAGCCCAGTGAGGAGCTTGATCTCACAACCCTGAGATCATGACCTGAGCTGAAATCAAGACTCGGACGCTTAACTGACTGAGCCGCCCAGGGGTCCCAAAAATGAATAGTTTAATAGATGGAAACATTTTGGAATATTTGCTTCAGAGCATAGTCAGTCTCTCTCTCTCTCTCTCTCCTTCTCTCTCAGAAATACAGCATAGTGTTCACAGTACCCTTCTGTCAGCCCCACCCTCCCCCGCCACTCCCTGGAGTGACCCTCATCTTCATACATATTGTTACAATCTTACTGCAAATGCACAAATAAACATGATAGAATTTTGCATCATGTGTTTTTTTTTTTCTTTTTTAAGATTTTATTTATTTATTTGACAGAGAGAGACAGCACGAGAGAGGGAACACAAGCAGGGGGAGTGGGAGAGGGAGAAGCAGGCTTCCTGCTGAGCAGGGAGCCCGATGTGGGACTCGATCCCAGGACCCTGGGATCATGACCTGAGCCGAAGGCAGACGCCTAACGACTGAGCCACCCAGGCGCCCCCCGATCATGTGTGTTTTTAAGATTGTATAAAATGCATACAGCACAGGATTTACTGTTTTAATCATTTTCAAGTACACAGTTCAGTGGCATTGAGCACATTCACATTGCTGTGCAACCATCATCACCATCCATCTCTAGAACTCTTTTTGTCTCACAAAACTAACACTCTATCCCCATTAAACACTGACTTCCCACTCTCCCCTCCCCCAGCCCCTACCCCCCCATTCTCCTTTCTATAGCTATGGTTTTGACTATTCTAGGAACCTCGTGTAAGTGGAATGATACAGTATTTGCCCTTCTGTGTCTGGCTTATGTCAGAAGACACTCAGCACAGTGTCTTCAGGGTCCATCCATGTTGGGGCAGGTGTCAGAATCTCCTTCCTTTTCAAGGCTGAATAGTATATGGATGGACCACGTGTTGTTGATCAATTCATCTGTTGATGGACACTAGGGTTGTTTTCGCCTTTTGACTCCTGTGAATAATGCTGCTCTGAACTTTGGTGTGCAGGTATCTCTTTGAGACCCTGCTTTCAGTTTTTTGGGTATATACACACAAGTGGAATTGCTGGATCCTGTGGTGACTCTATGCATAGTTTTTTAAAAAGATTTTATTTATTTGAGAGAGAGTGCGAGAGAGAGCATGAGCAGGGGGGAGGGGCAGAGGGGGGAGGGAGAAGCAGACTCTCCGATGAGCAGGGAGCCTGAGGATGACGTGGGACTTGATTCCAGGAACTTGGGATCATGACCTGAGCCGAAGGCAGATGCTTAACTGACTGAGCCACCCTGGCGCCTCTTTGCATACTTTTTAAAGAAACTGTTGTACTGTGTCCACACAGGCTACACCTTTTCACATTCCCCCCAACAGTGCACGGAGCTTCTAGTTTCTCCACATTCTCCCCAACACTTGTTCTTTCCTTTCTTCTTCTTCTTCTTCTTCTTTTTTTTTTTTGATAGAAGCAATGTTTCCTGTTTTTATAACTTATATGGTATCTTGCTGCATATATGCAGCTTGTCTTATGTAATCAATATTATGTTTTTTATTGCTCAGCCATGTCAACCCTATAGGTGTAATTCATTAATTTTACTTTATTTTTTCTATTAAAGAGTCATACTTGTACATAGTTTTGAAAAAACTGCACTCTGTTCTACCACAAACTCCCACTCCACTTTGAAGGCTTCTGGCTGTTTCTTCCATTATTTCTGTCCATATTTCTAACTTTTTTTTTTTTTTAAGTAGGTTCCATGCCCAATGTGGGGCTGGAACTCATGCTGAGATAAGAGTTGCGCACTTATTTGTGGAACATAAGGAATAACATGGAGGACATTAGGAGAAGGAAGGGAAAAATGGGGGGGGAGTTGGAGGGAGAGATGAACCATGAGAGACTATGGACTCTGAGAAACAAACAGGGCTTTAGAGGAGAGGGGGGAGGGGGGAGGGGGGATTGGTTAGCCTGGGCACGTACTGCATGGAGCACTGGGTGTTACATGAAAACAATGGATCATGGATCACCGCATCAAAAACCAATAATGTATTGTATGGTGACTAACATAACATAATAAAATTAAAAAATAAAAAATAAATAAAAGAACAGTTGCGTGCTGTATCAACTGAGCTAGCCAGGCACACCTCTGTCCATATTTCAAATGTAAATGCTGCTCTTTCTTGATTTTTCAGTTCAAGACCCCAGCTATTAACCCCTAAGAAGGAAAAAAGGATCTGAGCTCTATTAGCATTCTTTGATGGCTGCTATTGACCTCTTGTTTTCTTAAGCTCAGACATTTACATATGCCCAGGAAACATACTTTCAGAACTCTGATCCTTTGCATTTTGAGGAACTTCTGGATGCAGCAGGATGAATTTTCCCATCTTGAAAGGGAAGTCTGTCTCTGGATCAGGTCTGTGGATGTGTGGGTACACTTTGGGTTATTAGGGAAATGAAGGACATGAAGCTTGGGTTCTCTGATGTAACTGAGAGAGGGCCAGAGAGCACTGCTGGTAAGAGCTGCGTGTGTGGCAAGCCCCAAGGAGCACGCCCACCAGCCCCACTCATTCCTCACCACAGTCCTTGGGATGGGGCTCTTCTTATCCCCACTTCATGGAGGAGGAGACTGAGGCCCAGCGAGGCCAAGCTGCTTGGCCAAGTCACATGACCTGCAAGCAGAAGCGTCACATGGGAGGCACTTGGCTCCGATGCCCATGTTCTGGCTGCCGGTGCTCTCCCTGCTTCTCATGTTCGATCCTCTAAGCCACCTCAAATGGTGGGTGGTAGCATCCCCTGCTTCCTGTAGTGACAATGAAGGTAGGAGCCTAGCCCTGCTAAGTGTGTGTGTGTGCCAGGCCCAGAGCCAGCCCTGTCAGGCTTCATGCTAACCAGCCTTTCCCTGGGGTTCCTGGGAGAGCTGGTGAAGGGCTCTCTCATGTGTGGAGTGGCCCTGGCTCTTAGAATGTGCAGTTTATACTTGAGGGTTTAAGAACGTATTTCAGAAGTCATTGAATGTACATGGGGCTTTCTGCCACGGGCCTCATCACCATGGAAAGCCAGGGTGGGAATGAGGGACCATACCTTCTCCCTAGGAAAAAGAACAGCTGGCCCTTTGGGCAGATACTGGCTTTTTACCCCACTGTAAGCACAGGTGTGGCAAGGCTGTTTTGGATCTTACTCTTAAAGCGGGACCCTGAAGATAGCCTGACCTGGTGCAGTGTCCACTCCAGGGCTCACAAAGCCCCGTCTCAGAGGACAGATGTCAGAGATGCAGGCAAGACTGGGCTACAAGACAGTGAACAGAGTAGGATGTTTGGTGGTGAGCAGCTGCAAAGTGGATGGGAAGGGCTGGGTGGCTGAGTGGCAGAACTTGGGCATGCTGTTTTCTTGGGGGTTCCCTTAACCCCAGGAAAGGTTTTGGGAAAAACTCCCCCTCACCTCGCCAGCCCCAAGCCTTTACACTTCAACAAGGAAAAGTCTAACAGTATTGTTTGGTTGGTAAAATAACAGGCATCTAGTTCCACTATGAGACCCTCTCCTCCTGTAGAGGGGCCAGGCTGAGCCCCGGAGGTCAGGCCCCCATGTTTGACATCTGGCACTGTGTTTGCCTTGTAGGTGTGGAACGCCGTGGACTCGGGCCGCTGCTTGCAGACCTACTCCCTGCACAGTGAGGCGGTGCGGGCTGCCCGCTGGTCTCCCTGTGGCCAGCGCATCCTCAGCGGTGGCTTCGACTTCGCCCTACACCTAACAGACCTTGAAACAGGTGTGTTTCACGGCATTGTTACCCCGAGGCACCCCTTCCTCACCCGGAAGCTTCTCTGGACAGTCAGCAGCCACAAGCTGCACACGGTTTCAGGGCAGTAGGAGAGAGCCCGCGGGAGAGGCTCACACTTGGTGAGCAGGTTTCCAGGGTGTTTGCCTGGAACCAGGACTCTCCACAGGGGGTTTGAGAGACAGAGGACAGAGCCGCAAGGTTGTCTCAGCCCCAAGCTGTGGGGCTGGATAAAGAGGTGGCTTTTTAATCAACTTCTGACATGTAATTTGTACCAAAATAGATTTAGCTTTATCACGGTGTCCTTTGGTTGAAATCAGTTTAGAATTCCTGTCAATTCATTATCGTTGAAAGGCTGTAAGGAATGATTCCAGCTCATAAGGAAAGTCTGCAAACGAGTTCTGCTTTAGTGCCTACACTGAAAAGGCATCTGGGTAAGATGGATTTGTGCTGGGTAAATCCTAAGGGGGCTCTTGACAAGCAGGGCGAGAAGGAGAGATAAGGCAGCGGAAGACTTCCGGGGGCTCCTGTGCAACAGGCACTCTCAGCCCCTAATCCAGCCACAGCCCCCTGAGTGGGGTCCTGTCTGTGCTCCTCAGGTGAGGCCAGAGCTGGCTTGAAACCTCTGCCCCTGACTCAGGCTGGCTGGTCTCAGCACCCATGTTGCCTTTGCCTCCCTGGGCTTCTTCTGGTCACTTTTCTGCTGGACAGAGTGCCCACCCTTCCCTGGGGTGTCCCCTTCAGTCTTCAGAGAGGCCTCTCCCGCTCAGCAGTCTCCCAGGGCCTGGCAAGCAGGAGGTGACAGTTCTGGGCCCAACCACACAGCTCCTCCCCCGCAGGTATGCATTCTCCAGAGTGGAGGGGGTGCAGGGAAGGAGCACAGTGGATGGATTGGGGTAACTCTGGGGGTCATTTCCCGACCCGAGCACCCTCATCTCCTCTGGCCTGCTGAGGGGTGGTCCTGCAGCTCCTCTGACTGAGCCCCATGCGCCCTCAGTGGGGACGATGAAAAGACCGATGGCTGTGTCAGTGGCCAGTACTGTGCCGCAGGCTTTAAAAATAACATGCAGTCCTCACCACAGCCTGCTGCCCTGCTTCTTTCCCCTGTTTTATAGGTGAGAAGCCTGAGGCTCACTGCAGCGAGTAGCTTGCTCAGAGCCTCCCAGTGGCGCGTGGCAAGTGGGGATTTAGAGCCATGCCTGCGAGTGCAAATCCTGTGCTCTTTCTTTTTTAAGGATTTTATTTCTTTGACAGAGAGAGAGAGAGCACAAGTAGGCAGAACAGCAGGGAGAGGGAGAGGAAGAAGCAGGCTCTCCACGGAGCAGGGAGCCTTACGTGGGGCTCGATCCCAGGACCCTGGGATCATGACCTGAGCCGAAGGCAGCCGCTTAACCGACTGAGCCACCCAGGCGCCCCTCCTGTGCTCTTTCTACATCTGTATGGTATTTTTCTTCTCAACAAAGTGTTTCCCCAACCATTTGTGATCTTACCGTGAGCCCTGCAGGGCCGATGAGGGGGCCATGGCTCAGGGGTTTGGTGCCACTTAGTTGGTGATGACTGCAGCAGGTAATGTTCTCCTACAGCCTTACAAACGGGGTCTCATTTAGGCCCCACTCACCCTTCAGGGCCGGCACCACCAGACTCCTCTTTTCACGCACAGGTCTGCTCGGTTCACTGTGTTTCTGTGTGCCCAGTAAGCCATGCTCAGCATTGGAGACACAGAGGTGAACAAGACCCAAAATCCACCCCAGAAGCTCTTGTTTGCTGGGGGAGACAGAAGTGCAGAGAGAATCCCAGATTACAGTGAGGGAGTGAGATACAGGAAGTGCAAGAACGTCTAGCCTAGAAGATCAAAAAAGACTTCTGGGAGAAAGCGGAACCTACCCTGAGGCAGGAACGAGGGGGACAGAGGATCCAGGTGAAGGGGGCACGGTTGAGGGGGAGAGAAATGGGTTCTCAGTAGACAGGACCGTGAGGACAGAGTTGGTACAAGAACATGAACTGCGTGGTGTGTGTGGAAATGTGGGGTGCAGGGATCTGGGGCAGCGAGTCTGGAGGTGCAGGAACAGGAGCTTGAGCTTCATGCAGTTCCTGGCCCATGAGGTATGCATTCTCCAGGCACTCTTCCCCATTCCAGAGTCACTGAGCACCCCTGGGTACCTGCACTGCCCACCCACAGAGCGAAGGAGTAATGCATACTGGGGGGGGGGGGATGTTGGATTAATTAAGTACAAGTTCATTTGATAACATTAATGGATTCCTAGTGGCCCTTTGTCCTAATGGATCTTCTCAATCAACAGATGTTAAAGAGACAGTGCCATTGTGTGTGTGGGTGTGTGTGAGTGTGTGTGTGTTGGGGGGGTGGTTCTGAAATTTTTAGATGTTGAGTCTTCCTGCCTGACAAGTTAGGGACTGCCACAGCAGATGGCGGTAGGAGGCCATTGTTGAGTTTGGAGCAGGAGAGAATCACGGCTTGATTTGTACTCTGGGCAGTTCTCCCTAGTGTCTGCAGCTGGTTGGGAATGACCTGAGGCAGGGTGGAGAGCAGGAGGAGGGGAGAAGGCATGCCTTGCCCAGTTGGTGGCAGAACTTAAGGGAGAGAAGCTTGTCTGGCCCCAGGCCCAGCGCGCTCCTCCAGCTGTGGTGTGTTGGGTGGTATAGGGAAGGCGCAGCCCCGTCCTCAGGGCTTTGCTTGAGATGGACAACTTTTCCAGTCCACCCACCTCCCGGGAATAGCACTCCTCACCTGGTTCATCTGTTGAGAGCTCAGTTCCAGTCATTCAGTAGGTACTTACTGAGTACCTACTATGTACAAGATCTGGTGGGGTGAGCTTGTTGGCGAGCTTATTGGATATTCTTTGTCCTTTGGGGACAAGGCTCTCAGGGTTTGGACCTTACCCTTGGGGAAGCCCCCCAGCCCCTAGATGGGACCTCTCTTGCCAAGTGGGTTGCTGGTTTCTGTGTCTGTGTGGGCACTCCTTGAGAATGGGACCTGTCCTGGGAGTTTTGGTGTCTCCATCATCTGGCCAGGGCTGGCTCGGAGCAGCTGCTCAGTGTGTGAGTGGAGGCTGGCCCTTGCTGGGCAGTGAAACCCATCAGTGACTGCCAGGGTAGGCTAGTAGGCTCTCCCCAGGTCTCCCACCTCAGCTCTGCATCCCCACCCCAGGTTGTACTAGGTGCTTTCTTTAGCAGAGGTTGGTGGGCTTGGGCAGCCCCTATGGCTCTTGGCCTGGTTTGACTTATCTCATCCTTTCTCATCACTGAGTCTGATTTTCCTTTTTACTTGATCTGCCTCTTTCCGCCCTTGGCGATTTGGCTTTTTCATTTCAATCTAATTAGAACTCCCTGCCAGGAGAAGGCAATGCAGGGCGTTCTCACCGCAGTGCTTTGGGAATTAGTCACTCGGTGCCCATTGTCGTTAATGGGAATTTGGCGCCAAGGCCATTTATCCTGGTGTCTTCAATCAATACAGTTAAAAATCTGTGGATTCTAAAATGTCAATACCCGGCCTGAAATATGGAGGGCCAGCAACATTTTATCTCGTTAATTTATAGTTCTGACGGGCTGTTGGCTTATAAGACAACCATGAATCAACACCTAAATAAAATCCACTCACAGATTCATTATTTTTGGTGCTCCCGCTTCAGTCTGTAATCTTCCTAACAAAACGTCTTTAGTGCATAAGGCTGAGGTGGCCTCAGGGAACCCTGGCCGACTCCACCAGGGCCCGAGTGTCACCTGGCTTATGAGTCAGCTGTCCTGCACGCCAAATCGGCCAGTCTCCTCAGCATCCCCCCGAAGACCTCGAAGACCTCATTCAGTTCAGTTCTGCTGGCACTGGTCTCTTGCAGCTTCCAGCCCCTCAGGCAGTTGCCCCCAGCCTGGCTGTTAAGGCCTCAGGGGAATGCAGGGCCTCGTACTTTGCATTTGTTGACTGCAAAGGAGATTTTCCTCTCCCTGGAGCCCAAGGGCCCTGGCTGGAGAGGGCACCCTGCCCTCCTTCCTTTGGCCTGGTCAGCTCTCTTGATGTGCATCCAGACATCTGTGCACCTGGTCCCAGGTACCTGATGCCGGAGGCAGCGCAGTGGGATAGAAGGAGCACGGATGGGGTGCAGGTGTGTTCTTCCACTTACCTGAGCTGGGTATCCCCGGGGAAAGTTCTTTCACCTCCGTTTCCGCATCTGTGGAAGGGGGTAACAGGACCTGTCTGGTGGTGGGGTGGTTGAGGGGAATAGCTGAGATAATGTTTGTGGGTGCTTTACAGAATGCCTGGCCCAAGGTAGGCACTCAGCAAAAGATGTCCCTTCCCTTCCTCCATCACTGCCCCATGAGACCCTTCAGATGGTGGGAAAGAATGACCTTGTTCCTGCTGAGTGTCCAGAGAACCCCAGTTGCTGGGCCATTTCCTCATATAGAGTGGCTTTGGTGGCTCGGCTTCAAAAGCCCCAGTCTGATGATCCCCCAGCCGGCTTACTAGTGTGGCCCTTGGTCCACTGTGTTGGTCTGGGGGGCAGGCTGGGAAGAAAACAGGCCTTCCTGGGTTCTCCCAGCTTCTCCTCCATGTTTTGCTTCTCCATGACAAAATAGTACTGGTGGTAGGCTAGCCGCTTCCTCCTGGTGATGGGATGGCAGCTGCCCTTTATTTTGGGTGGGCATGCAGACCTCCCACAGCCCAGCCTGACCCTCTCTACAGAGCTCCAGGCACCCAGTGCTGGAGAAGGTCCATGGCCTTCTTTACTCAGATACCCACTGCCCGCAGCCTTGCCATCCCCAGCCCCTGGTTATCTCCTCCTGCTCTGGGGGTCCCTGTGTCTTTCAGGGGTGGGTTATGGGGCATGAAAATGAGCAGCCAGCTGGGACTGGACCCATACATGACCCTTTCTCTTGTTTTCCAAGAAGTGTGTTCTGGTCATCGTGATTGGGGCCCCCATCACAGAAGCACTCTAGGAAAGGGGAATATCCCGTTGGCTGAGTGTGCCCGTGGGCCAGGC